CACACATATCAAATTTTTTGTATTAAATAAAACTACAGGCACAAAAATTATCAAAGACTAAAAAAATTAAGAAAAATTTTCTTCAAAACCAGTAAAAAAGGTTCCTTTAGTTGCCTCGCTTTGAAGCCCCATAAATCAGCCAAATGAAAAGATAGTTGTTTTTTCATTCCTTTTTCTACTGAATACCCTTTATATACCCTATGTCCTTATACAGTTTTAAAAGTTGTGATGCTATTTGTATCATTTTGATTGAAACTGACAAAGCTAAAAGTGACATATAAAATTTTGCTTTCTAGTTGGTATGTTTGAGCCTGAAATAGGAACAAAACATTTAGAACAAAAAAATGGTTATATTTTAACAAGAAAATATAAAATCTATGAAAAATCATACTTATATCACTTAATGGAACTTTGACAGATATTTGCACTAAATGGAACACTGACAGATTTTTTATGTTTAAAATGTTGCAGAGACCATCTAACTTCTAATTCAATTTTCTCTCTCGGACGGTGTAATTTGAACTTTTATGCCAAATAAACCACGAGTGTCTTTCGATTACTAGATACATGTCATTTTTTTGGTCTTCAATTTGAGGGTAGGGTCGAATTGGGACTCTGTGGCTGAAATATGCTATAATTATTGTAGTATTGTTTAATACAAAAAAAAATTATGCTATAATTATTGTAGTTTTGTTTAATACAAAAAATAAAAGTAAAGAAAGATATAAAAAAAAAAAAGTCAACCAAGTTTTTCTGTTTAAAAAAAAATTTTTTACTGTTTTGAGGTATATACTTAGTATATACTTAGTATATACCTATATATATGGTATATACTTATTATATACCTATAATCTAGTTTTAAAGTTCCTCAAACTCATCAATTCTCAAAACTTAGTTCTCAACTTTGTGGAAGCAAGATTTTATCAAACAGAATTTTAGATTTCCTTACCTTGGTGTTCGTGGTGATGTTTGGCAAAATGGTAACCCGTTTAAAACACACCATTACTTATAATTACTTTGAGTGACTTTTTTGGCGTAACTTTTGCAAAATCAATCAGTTTTAAAAAATTCAAAAAACTCAATGCATTAAAAATTTACTGCAATACTAATTGCCCAATTGAGTGAATTGATAAAAGCATTTGATCACCTTTTAGGAAAAAGTTTGGAAACTTTTACTTATTTTAAACTAGAAGTAAGTTCTGATGAACTATTATCAGTAGACTAAGTTATTTCATGAAGGGGAGAATCAAAGCCCTGCTCATTGAGTTTGATTCCAAGAGACTGATTCCAAGGTTCCATCAGGAACTTGCAACTTTTTCAGAACAAACTTGCAAAAACTAGACAGTGATTAAATCAGTGGTGAGTTCCCCAGACAGTACAACTTTAAAAGCATAAAGATCGCAAAAAAGTCCCCTGAGTGTTCATGCTTTATTTGTCAAGTTGACAAAGCAAAGCACAATCAGGCTTCCCCTGTTTATCATGTGCACCAAGCAGCAATCCAAAAATAATTTTTTTAAGTATTTTTATAATTATATATGACCAGAAGGAAAAAAATAAAACTTTTCCTAATGCTTTCGTTACTATGACTCAAATTTTTATTGTGTACAAGCAAACCTGTTAAACCTGTAACGTAAAAAACCAATAAATAAAGCAGTAGACACCTCAAGTTTTTATTTTCCCTTATTTTTGTATCCTTATGACTTTATTAAGCAAAAAATACAGTTACAGGCTCAAAAATTATCAAACGCTGAAAGAATTAAGAAAGATTTATTCAGAAACAGTAAAAGTGGTTCCTCTAGTAGCCTCACTTTGAAGCCCCATAAATCAGCTAAATGAAAAGATAATTGCTCTATTCCTTTTTCTACTAAAACCACTTTGAATACTCTATTTCCTTATTTTTTCATTGACGATCCATGATTGTTCCCAAATAAAAATTTTTTTTTTTTTGCATAAACAACTGTTTTATTAACTAATTGATCCCTATTCTCACTTAAAAAAAGCATATATGATATTAAATTGTTTTATATTCAGTCCTTTTATTTAGAGGTAGACCTTTGCATCATTTATTTCACAAAGGACCAACTCCCACAATCTAAGAAGACGCAAAACAAAAATGATTGCAAACGGATGTTTGTAAAATGTCCTTTTAATGTCTGTATAACTCAAAACTTATTTATGCACGAGATATGAATGTTCAAAGCTTAAGGGTGGAATGCAAGAAGCGAACTTGAGTCAAGCTTGACTTGAACTTTACATTGCAACCAATAGCGACAGAGTATGGGTTTTCCCCTCAAAAAATACTCTGCCGCTATTGGTTACAAAGTAAAGTTCAAGTCGAACTTGACTCAAATTTGCTTCTTGCATTCCACCGTAAGTGGTTAAACTTAGGCAGTTTTACGGTATAAATAAATATATATATATATATATATATATATATATATATATATATATATATATATATATATATATATATATATATATATATATATATATATATATATTATTATTATTATTATTATTATTATTATTATTATTATTATTATTATTATTATTATTATTATTATTATTATTATTATTATTATTATTATTATTATTATTATTATTTTATAAACATCAATAAATACAATTTTCTCTCAATACTAAATTTATTTTTATTTTTTATTTTTTTAAAGAAATTTTCGCTGGATTGTTGTGACCAGCGTCTTTAGCTTAAAAGATTTTGTTTGTTTTTATTTATATGTTATTTTTAAACGGCAATTTTATTATATGTCAATGTAATGGTTTCGTCTTTTTCTGACGTAAGTGCATTAGAAATGGTGTCCAGAATTTTGTTGAAACATATTGTCCCTCATCTAAATTGATACCACTTTGTTGAGGGGCACATTGGTGGTACTGTATTTCAAGCGCCTCACGAACTTTCCTATCAAACTTTTTGTTATTGACTTTAAGAGTTCTGCAACTGCAAAACAAAAACAGTACAATATTTCCTATTGTACTGTTTTTGTGTTGTTGCATGCGTGTTTTTATTTGCATTTTTGTTTCACCAATATACTTTTTGTTACAATGGCACTTAATAAGGTAAACTCCTGGGTGGCTGTTCCTTTGTAGTTTGGATTTATTTCTTGAAGTCAATATTGCTTCTAGGTTTAAGTTTGATTTGAAGACCGTTTTATATCCTGCCTTTCTAAACACTTTACGCAATTTGGGAGACAATATTGGTACCCAAGGTAATGAAATTGTTGGATACGTACTGGTGAAGTTGTCAATGTTTTTAGTAGTCACTAGAGGTTTTTTGTACTTTCGTTTTATTTCTTTTATGATTTTTAAGAGATTGGAATATTTGTAACCATTTTCGACAAATACTTGAATTAGGAATTTCAGTTCATTTTCTATATGTTTCTGACTGCATACATTAAATGCTCTATGTACAAAACCCTTGAATATTCCATTTAAAATTTGTGGGTCATGGTTTGATGTTGCTTTAACTTGAATGTTAATAATTGCATTTTTTATTTTAAACAAAAAACGCAATTACTAACATTCAAGTTGTGTATTTTAAATTCGTATTTGCCATTTTTGTTATTTATTATGCATAAGTCTAGAAAATTTAGTGTTTTTTTATCATTTTCAAATTCGATTGTATATTGTATTTTTGGATGCTGTTGGTTAAGTATTGTCTTGAATTGATTAGCCTGGGCTAATCAATTCAATTTGAAAATGATAAAAAAACACTAAATTTTCTAGACTTATGAAATTTCTAGACTTCTAGAATTACATGATGCTGCATTGCCGGATAAAATAGAGCTGAGAAGAGAAATATTTTTCCCTGGGTGATCTAAGAAACCGTTAAAAGATTTGAACAGCTTTATGTTCTTGCTGAAAAGTAGGCTATTCTTATTCTATCAAATCTTTTGAATGTAAATATAAATTTTAATTTCTGGGTCGTTTGATCATGATTACATTAATAAAGAAGAGTTCCTCTCTGAAAGGAAAAGTTTTATTTTTGTCGCCGCATCACAAGATAAAACAAAAACATGGGTGGTGGTCCGGTTACTTTTTGCAGTTGATTTTAAATTATAATCTTGAAAACTCAGTTCCTAATATAGTTATACTGCTACAAATTTTTCCTTTCAATTTTTGTTTGTCTGGCTTGCTGTGTGAGAAGTTTTTCAATTTTTGTTTGTGTGGCTAGCTGTGTGAGAAGTTTTTCAATTTTTGTTTGTGTGGCTAGCTGTGTGAGAAGTTTTTCAATTTTTGTTTGTGTGGCTAGCTGTGTGAGAAGTTTTTCAATTTTTGTTTGTGTGGCTAGTTATTTGAGAAGTTTTTCAAACCGAAAAACGATAAAAAGTTACCTTAAACCTGCAATGAGTATCCTGCGTTTATTCTGTTATCAAAGTCATTAATGACTTTACTGACAGAAAAGAAAGAAAAACTTTTAAAATATTTTAACAAATTGCAATTTTTTGCGATTAAAAATCATGTTATAAATAATCTTATATCAAAATAACTGTTTTGATAAATGCAATAGTTGTTCTTTTTATAAAGGGCGGCGAAAATCAAATTCCACCCCGTGCGGCATAAGCCCTTGTTACGTCACTGTTACTTTCAGAGTTCGCTTAGAGATTGTCCATAAATTACGTAACGCAATATTAAACTTATAGACAAAAGACAAAGCATTAAAAGTTAACTCTCGCAGAGTCATTAATTAAACAAAGTATATAAACAACCTTTAAAGTTCAGCGAAAACCACCGCGCAAAAAAGCAAAATGATCTCCTGCTTATATTTTTAAAATAAGTTTTGCGTTGCGTAATTTATGGACGATCCCTTATTTGAAATACGGTATTTCTACATAAAGAATTTTTTCTATGTTAGTAAAAGTATAATTTTTTAGGGTATTTTCAGGTGTAGGCAATTTTTTTACTACAGGTGTATTCATATCTATTTTGCCGTTTACCCCATGCATGAAAGTTATCTATCTAAAACAATAAAAACTACCAGGTATTTCCATCAGAAAGTTTTAAAAATAACTTTTTATAAATAAACAAAAAAAAACCACTTAAGATAAATATTATTCAACTCATATATTGCAAGAGACATTCGTCTGAAACTTTTGTAACAAAATATTATTTTTACATAAAACAAATCTTTATTATAAAAGATAAAAAAAATTGTATTTTGATAGAACTTTTTATTTCAATAAATAATTATAAAAGTTAAAAAAACTCAAAAGAAGCAAATCAAACATTTATTTTTTGACAATCTTGGAGCTCAGAATGCTTTATGATTTGCGCATTTTTCCATAATGATTTCAATTGCTCGGTTCTGTTGTTATAGCAACCTGAAATTAAAATAATTTTAAAAGAGGTCGGACATAAAATTACTTCACGTACTAAAGAATTTTGTGAAAACTTGTAATATAGAGGCGGTATCTGACTTTGTAACGAAACAATTGTTTAATTATTATTTCACGGAACTAGAGCAATGCAAATAAATAAAATTAAACATAAAACTGTATTAAGTAATGATGATTTGTAGCAAGTCTATGAGCATTGTTACAAATCAGCAGAAAAAGTTATATAGCTCATAACTTTTTCTTTTAACACGCCTAAAAGTTCAAACTATAAATCAATTTAATTTCCCAAAGTATACATTACCTACAAAAAAAAAAAAGAAAAAGAAAAGAAAGCTACTGCAACTGTGGCAACCCGTACCCAGTACGGACGTCTGGACATCCTTACGGACGTCTGGACATCCTTAAGACGTCCAGCGGACGTCTTAAGGATGTCCAGACGTCCGTAAAAAATAAATCTTTACACGCGCATGTTTTATATGTCCCTTTTTAAATTTTTTGTTAAAAGTTGTATTTAATTATGCAATGTTGCTTTCATTGCAAACATTAAATTGAGTCTACATGTCTACAACACTGCAATGCGTTTTCCTATTGGAACTATAATGAAAAATTACTTAGTATTAAATTTTCAATACGAAAACGCGATAAAATATTCGTAATGCTAACAATACATTTCTGATTCCTTTAATTATTGCCCAATCAGACTGCTTATAAGTTAACAACGTCATTAAAATTTAATGACAAATTTTCAATATCTCATTTTGAGCATAACAACTCTGTGACAATCAACACGCAAAAGATTCTATTGTGCATTAGATGCCAGTGTCTGGCATGTTTGGCTTCTTTGTAAGCTTTCTTTACACGGTGAATCTAGAAAAAACTTTGAAATCATTGAATCATTTCCTTCTGACCGTAGTATCAAAGTCGTCCTTATTGGACAACACTTATTTTCAGTAACTTCTGGGGTACAACAACAATTTATTCTTTGTCCTGCGTTCTTTCTCATTAATATTAATAATCTTCCTGATAACCTTACCTCTAAAGTGGCTTTTCATTTAGTTTTGACTACAAGTCGTCACTTATTCGTTTAAAACAGACAGCCAGTTATGAATTTTAACCCAAACAATACTAAGCAGTGAATTGGCAAATTTTAACCTAACAAAAGTTATTTAATGCTAACAAATATCACGTTAATATTCCTATATAATAACTGGTAACACACTCATTAAGTCCTCTACTTTAGGTTTTCTCAGATCCTTCACTACTAACCTCTCACGGAGACCTATAATACACAATACGTTCATGTAAACATATGTATGAACAACTACAAAGTTAGCGTCTGCTATAGGTTTTCTTTCTCGTTATTTTCTTACTTCTGATTTCATTCTCTACCTCTATAAATCTCTTATTCGTACTTGTGAAGAATAGTGTTGTCATATTAGGTTCTTTTAATGAAAGATAAAATAAATAAATTTCCTTATGACTAAGTATCTCCATTATTATTATTTTTTTGCCATCTCACTCATTTTTAAAGGTCCAAAAACGCGTTGTAAATTTTGTTGGACCTGTTCTAGCTTCAAGCTTGAGCTTTTATCCTATTGTCGTAAGGTTTCTTTTTTTTTTTTCATTCTCGGTTAGGTGAGATGAATTTTAGCCCGTTTGAATATATGGAAAATCTATATAGAAAAAAATATCTTACACAAGCTGGACATTTTTAAGATTATATTTATATATCCTATATTTACTTTTTTTGAACCACAATACTTCTAAACACCCATAAATTTTTACATAATTGATTATTGCAAATAAAATTAGATTGTGTTCGTTTAGAAATTTTTATTTTTTATCTATTTTACCTATATTTCTCCATTGCCCTGTAGGTCAATGATTTTTTTTAAATTTACGCAGACTGTGTCACATGTCTTAAAAATTAAAGGTAAAAAATAAATTGCAAACAAGTGTTAGAAGGACATCACCCTTGATCCACTTTTCCATCCCTTTAATAGGAATCTTAGCTACCTTGAACAGGGTCCAGTTCTGGAAATCTACAAGTTCAGTAAGCATTTTTGATCTACTTATAATAACTGTTAGCTTTGGTTTACCAAAATAAAACAGCTCAGGATCATACTTGACCAACTTCTCAAACGTTTTCTTTTTCTCTTCTTGAAAATCATTGTCAGCTAGGACCAATATAACTAACTGTTTTTTTAAACACCTAACATAGCGTGATTGGTGTCAAAAAGGGCCTTTCTTAGTTTTGGGTAGTATTTCAAACCATCATTTATAGGCAGTCCTTTAAGAATTAGACCTCATAGCATATAGAAATAAAGAATGCTGCCATCTTCTTCTTTTCCTTATTCATTACTAGGGCTATAATCTAAGTTATGCTCGTGTTCGGCAGGTATAGAGCATCTGTCAAGAGACATAAGAATAAATTTTTATTAAGTATATAAGAAAAACTTAAAAATAAGTTTTTCCCTTAAGACAAAAATTATTGATAACATACTCAACTGTATCTAGCTTCTTGGCAGAATACTGAAAATAAAATCCTAAAACACTTATTCTTAAAATGAAAACTAGCAGTCAACACCCTCTTGCCAAACTACAGTGCATCCTTAACTAAGTTGTAGAAGAATGATCTAACCTGTGACTCATTCTAATCAAACCTGGTGATTTCCACAGACGAATGGCATGTTATTATTTTTTATTTTTTTAAGCATAAATAGGCTCAGATCTTGTTAAAAAATAAGTACATGATAAGCATATTGTTTAGTTTTACTCTAAATAACGCATGCTTTTGAGCACAAACCTATTAAAACTCTTGAAGGTATCTAATGAAAACCATTGTGCTACAAAATAAAAATCTGAACGGAAAAAAATTTGTCTTTCTTGCTTGGAAGGCTTACAAAAACGTACGTGTTTTTGTAAACTCTAGCCTCTTAAATTTTTTGCATAAGCATACCAAAACCTGTTTCATAGATTTCATAAACATACCAAAACCTGTTTCATAGATTTTATGAGCTTATAAAAAAATAAGCACGAACCAAATTAATAATAATATTATAAACTTTTATTAAAAAACATAAAATAAAACTGTCTGTACGAACTAATCAAATATTGACATATTGAGCCTAAGATTTTAATTTTAAGTCTCAGAGGACTTGAGAGAATGTGAAAGGATAGAAGAATAGACTCAGAGCACTTGAGAGATTGTGAAAGGATAGGAAAATAGACTCAGAGGACTTGAGAGATTGTAAAAAATTTAAGAGGTATCCTAGAGAAAAATGTTTTTTTGTTTTTGGTATACTATTTATATATTTTATGACCCCATTAAGTATTGTAACTTCAAACAATTTGCAAAAAGGGAAAAAAACATTTGTTAAAACTTAAAACTATTTGTTTTGTTCTTAGCACTACAGTCAAGAAGGCTACTTTTATTCTTATTTATTCATTTTTTATTTTGGTTACTACTTTTTCTAAACCATTAAACTCCAAAAGACACTGCAGATTTTTGGATTCAGGATAATTCAGATAATGAATTTCAGGATAATTCTTGATTTTTAAATATTTTGTTTTAGTTTAACACTAATGGTTAAAAACAGCATATGCATCTTGGGATGGCAAAAGTCAAGGTACCAATAATTTCTTCGCTTAATCGTATTTAATTTTTTGAACATAAAAACTGAGAATGCTCTTTCGAACTCCATACTTGTTGGCCGTATCGATAATATATAATCATTTATTTTTTTATTTTAAAGGTGATCACATTTTAAGCTACTACTTTCAAATAACAGTATTTTTTTTTGAATTTTAAAAGTTATTTTTTACCTTTATAATTAGTGTTCGTATTGCTGCCAACCTTTTTTCCACCAATTCATTTAATTTCTTCATTTGGTAGAAAAACCTCTGGAATCTTTTATAAAGTAACCTTGTTGTGAATGTTATACTAAGCTCCTTAACGGTGTTTTCCACTCTTAAATTCGGCGACTCAAAGCATCATATAACTCGTTAGCCAAGACTGTATGTCCACATTTTGTGTTTTTTCTGTTTATTATCAATAAATATTCAACAACCAAAGGAGTATGTGTCCAATAAATCTAGTCTCAAGAATGATACAACTTTTAAAAATATTTAAAAAATTAGTCGGACATTCTCACAGAAAGTCTTTACAAATTAAATTTTAATACTTGATTTTCTCGGAAGCACAAAAAATGGACATAGGGCCTTTTGGTTCTTGGCTGATGAATTGTTTTCCAATTTCAGATTGTTGTTCTTTAGATTTTGTCAACATAAACTTTTATGCATTTTCAGAGGAAATTAAAGTTGTGTCTTGTCGACAAAGTTCTACCACAGTTGTTTTATCGATTGTAAAAGTACTACTAAATCAGATATCATTCTACATACTTTCTCGTGCATCTAAATTGAATTATTAATGTTGTAATCTAAATCTAGAAGTGTCTTTTTAACACAATTTTTTTAATTTTAAGTTTACTAATCAGTCTAGCATAAGCAACAAGCTGCTCCATCAGGTTTTTCAATCCATGATTAAATGGATTATCTTTCTAAACTCAATTTTTACGTACTTTTGTAAATAATTTTCATTTTTGTTTGGGAATCTTTTAAACATTTTTACAATTTTCCTAACATTTTTTTTATAATAAATTATTGGGTACTTAATTTTAACTTCAGGTGTTTCATCAGTTAACAATGAACCATTTGAATCTCAAATTCTACAATTCCAAAGCCTATATTTACATTTTATGATGTAAAAATTTTTTAAATACAAATTAAGCTTAAACTTTTTGTATTTTTTCTTTTTTTATGACAATCCTGAAATCCCAGAGACTAATCCCAGGATTTCCGGACGAACAATTTGTACTTACATAAATCACGTAAGTTTGATGATGAGCCATTTTCCCTGATAACTTCCTAATTTTTTTAACTCCCTAATTTTTCCAAAATTCAACACAATTTCCCTGACTGTTCTCTGGTTTTTTTGCAGATACCTGAACCAGACACCTGAAATTTTTTTTATGTATTTTGCAACCAATGCAAAAAATGCTCTATATATTTTGCAACCAATGCAGAAGAAAACCTCTATATTATTTCACACAGCAACATCTGCTTACTTAGGATTAATGAAAAATAATATTTTAAAATTGTATTTCAAATATATTTTTATACAGAACAAATTAAGGTCTCATGTGATCTTAAATTGTTCTATATAAGTTAAATACAAGTAAATAATTTCAAGAAGAAGTGAAAAAGCTTTACAATCTGTTACAAGGAAGAAGTAAAAAAGGAGCTCAAAAACTGTCAAAAATTGGATGGTGTAATTGCTGGACAACTCCTTATACTTATGAACTTTAAATACTTTTCAAACTATGTATTATTATTTATTATTTTATTTGTTTAAAATAATATTTATTTGTTTAAAATATTTATGTTTATAATATTACGCATAAAACTTAAGATAAAATTGTTAGAAATTATAGTATAATATTTAAATTAGAGCAAACAAGAATTATCATATTTTTAAAAATTCAAGCTGATAAATTATAGAGTTATTAAAGAATAATGGGTGTCTAAAAGAATAATGGGTGTCAAGGGTATAACATTGGAGTAATTGTGATAATATTAATGTGTGACAAAAGTGACCACTGCTTTATGTAAGAGACAACGATTACAAATTAATACTATTAGGTTTAGCACTGCATAAAAATAAGTATTTTGATTAGTTTTTGTATGGAAATGAAGGAATTATAGAGGAATATGCATTATTGGAGATATCTAACAAAGCAGATGTAAGTGAGCCATATAGTATACCATATATACTATATGGCTCACTTTTATAATTAAACTACAATTAGGAAAGAAATATATTTTTTTGAAAATAATGAATTCTATATTCTATACAAAAACAATAGCCTTCGAAAATACAAAAAATTTCAATACCTAGAAATGTGTTTGAAATGGGCAACAAAGAAGACCCAAAATCATTTATAGGTAAATCATCAGGAAAAACAGGTCCATCATTCCACATTAGATCAAATCCGCCAACACGTTTCTCTTTTCCAGTAAGTCTAAACACACACATAACAGATCAAATAATGTTAAATAGCCTTACAAACAGAGTGATTACAATAACAAAATAACTAATCAAATAATGTAATAATATAACTATATTATTGTTATATATGTAATTTAAAATTTTAAAAATAAAATTTAATTGTTAAAATTTGATCCTATAGATACCAGGTCTATTTATAGTAAAATGTAAGATCAAAATGGAGCGTTAATTATTTCATGAAAAACAACAGTAAAAAAAAAAAAGATTTAAACTTTTTACTAGCACAAAAAAACTCAAACCCAATGGTATATTGCTTAAAAAAACTCTGTGTGAAACATAGAAAGAAAAAAAAATTCACAACTGAGTCACAACATTTTTTGCATTTTTAACCATTGTGAAACTGTTCAGTTTAATTACCATATTCAAGTTAGCCATACTTATTGTGTTTTTAAAATTTGATTTATAAATAAACAACTGAAAAATTTAGATTTAAAATTTCTAGTGTTACTAAAAATGTTTATTAAACTTGTTTTTTATTTAACAATGATTATTGTTAGTTGTTTAATATTTTTCAGCCATTTACGAATAATAATGTAATAAAAATAAGTTCCATATTTTCTGTTAATAATAACTTTTGTAGCTCTTAACCTAAAAAAAAAAGGTACGCATCCCCAATTACTTTTTCTTTAACTTAAATTTATTCAATGTGCATTTTGAATTATACAGCTAATAATCTACATTTACAATAGAAACAATGTAAAACACAAACTATTGTTTCACAACTAAAACCAATAAGCATGAAACTAGCCTTCCTTCCATGTCAAGAACATTGAGAACATCAGACAACATGGCTACTTTTATATTATAATCAGTTTGATTACTAGCAGTTAAGGAAGGCGAAGCATTGATTTCACAAAGCCAACTAAAAAAAAAAATGTAATAACATTTTAAACATTTACTTAAAAGAACAAAAGACACAACAAGATTACTAAATTACTTACGGCTTAAGGTCAGCGTCAATTAAAATATCATACCCATACCTATTTGTACATAGTTAAGATGTTAAGAAAAACTTATAATCAAACCTGCTAAATTTAAAAACTAAAAACTATGCTTGTTTATATAAGCAGTGTGACATCATAATGAAATAACCTACTGTCTGGAGTTTTAGTAAACACATCAACTATCTTATAGCCCACTGCCACAAAAGAGTGACTCTACACCGACTGAGGGTTTGGGACGGGGCAGCATTCTTTTCCTTTATTATTCTTTGTTTTGTTTTGTTTTTTTTCTGAAAAAGGCCTATGCAATAAAGATAAACAAAACCAGTAAACAATTGTTGATCACTTTATAGTAGACGCATGACAATACATCTGAAATAGCCATAAGTTTCAATACATAAATCAAATGAGGGTTTGGATAGGCAGTGTATAAATATGAAAGACCTATAAAAAATATATATATATATTTTTTTCTTTATTTTCAAAAGTGTAGAGATCAAGGTCTGTAATTTGGCTAATAAATAGCCAGCGGGAAATAAGTACCATGCCAACCTTAATATTCAGTAATAGATGTTGCTCAATAAGAAGACCAATTTTATACATAATAAACTTTCATATAACATGTCTATTTAAAATAACTATTTTTTAAAGTAAAATTTGTAAACAAAAAAACACTTAAACCCTTCAATAATTATCTGCCACCTTTGAATAATTACTTAATTTAAATAAAAAGTTGTTATTTTTAAAAAGAATTTTTTTTTTTACAAAAATCAAATTATATAAAGCACCATAACTCAATGTTTCATACTCACAAGTTTTTCTTTCTGTTTCATCTTCAATAAAAAAAGGATACAACTCAAAGCAATGCTTGTCATTAATCATTACTCGCTGCACACTTTGTAAACTTTTTATAAATATAATATCCATCAAACGAAACAAATCCTTGACCTAAAATTCAAAATCAAAACTTTTACTTTGAAAAAATTCTTATCAGGTTACTAAAAAAAAAAATTTTCTCACAATATATTTTCTTTTAACTTTTTGCAATAACAATAAAATTGTGAATTGGTGTTGTTTCTATAATTCTTTTAGAATAATGAACACTAGATTTTATGACCATATTAGCTGTGCCTTTTTGTTAGTGGCTATGCAACTCTTTCTATTATCTCCTAATGTTTTGTTAGTGCAACTCTTTCTATTATCTCCTAATGTTTTGTTAGTGCAACTCTTTCTATTAACTCCTAATGTTTGTTTGTACAACTCTTTCTATTATCTCCTAACTCTATGCAACTCTTTCTATTATCTCCTAACTCTATGCAACTCTTTCTATTATCTCCTAACTCTATACAACTCTTTCTATTATCTCCTAACTCTATGCAACTCTTTCTATTATCTCCTAATGAGAGTTCTAAAAATCAGTTAAATGGTTCTGAAGCCAACAGAAGGTTTAATGCACAATCTGTGATTACCTTAAATTCTCTATAAATCAAAAACATGAATAGACTACCTAAAAATATAAGAAAAAAAACATTACTACCAAATTGTTCAAATCTTTTACAAATATTTGTGTTCTTCAAGGTAACTTTTAAAAATTTTACCTTCTGCAAAATTTATCAGAGCTACTTGCTTTGTGAAACTAATTTAAATCTGGCTGTTTCATTGGCTGGGCTATTTAGCAACCTTAAAAGTTGTTATTACTAATATATTTGAAGCAAACGTGATTGTTAATTTTTAAATTTCTAAGTAAAAGTTTTTATGAAAAAAAGTTTTATCATGTTTTATGACAATGTTGAGTCAAAATAACCTTGTTGGCCAAATAATACTTTTGGTTATCTGTCCGTAAGGTCAGACATAGCCAATTTTTAAAATTACAGTGTGTAAATTTTTAGACAAGAAATCATCAAGAAATGCTTATAAAATTTGTCTATTTGTATATGCTTTTGAAGTTGACTAAACAAGTAATTTACTTTTATTTACCTCATTTTTATTATTTTTTAATTTTGGTATATAATAAGTGCTTTTATCCTGTATTTGTATTACTTGGATAAATAAATATTTTATAGAAATAATATTCAAAACATAGTTATAAGAATCTTAATCTTATAGCTAGTTATAAGAATCTTAGTGAATTTTGTTACTTTTCTAGTACTAAATTTTATTTCTGCAAAAATTCGCACCATTGCTTAGAACAGGCAACCAATAAGAGTCTGATCTCTCTTTTGTAAAATATTACACTGGCTGGTGAATTTTATTCCAAACAAAACTTGTTTACTGCTAATAATTGTTGCAATTTTTTGGTACACCTATAATGACAAACTGCACTTATGTCATCAGATTATCATTTACTACTAACCTCTCATAGAAACCAAATATTCAATTAATTGCAAAATTACATCTATTAAAGTAGCCTTTCTTTATTGTGCTCACCGTTTTCTTTATGTCAGCTAAGAAACCTCAAAATTTCAAAAGATAAAAAGAATTCAGACTGCCTTTGTATTTCATTTGTATCAACGCATTTTCTTGCAGCAGTAGTTTAAAAGATTCTTATTCGGCTTCATCAACTCTCTTTAAAGAAAAAATATTGAACACACCTAAATGATTTTCCATACTGCAATTTCCATCATTTTGACAGTTTAATGAGACTGCATGTTAACCAGTGTTTTCAGTAATATTCCACACTCAACCAGTTATGTTATGTATTCCACACTCAACCAGTTATATCATAATAAGTTAAAGCGTATTAGATGACTCGAAATCTCATTTGTGTTTAAGACACTTAAGTATCTTTCTGTAGATTATATTCCTAGATGTTGTTATATACACCTCCAAATTTATATATAGATGTTTTTATATTATCTTTTAGTACACCTCCAAATTTATATATATAGATGTTGTTATATAATCTTTTGGTACACCTCCAAATTTATATATAGATGTTGTTATATTATCTTTTGGTACACCTCGAAATTTATATATAGATGTTGTTATATTATCTTTTGGTACACCTCCAAATATATATATAGATGTTGTTATATTATGTTTTGGTATACCTCCAAATTTATATATAGATGTTGTTATATTATCTTTTGGTACACCTCCAAATTTATATATAGATGTTGTTATATTATCATTTAGTACACCTCCAAAGACTTTACCTAAAATTGATGAGACCTTTGTTTTTATCTACTAATTAATTGGAAAATTGATGCAAACAAAACAACTTTTGTTTTTAATAATTACAATTCTTTTTAAAAAACAAAAATTTATATGTGTTTCTGACCTTTACCCTGGAAGTTTATATCTTCTAACTTGGAATAATGAGTTCTTGTTCTATTATTTTATAACTTGGAATGATCAGTTCTAATTCTATCAGCCAGAATACCCTGTTTGAAGTTCTTATTACAAATGTTAAAAAGTTGATTTAATTCTGTGAGAAAATTGTTTTCAAACTCTAACAGCTTATCAGGTGTCTAAGTTCAGAGAAACAATTTTATTACATTTTTTTTATTCTAAACAAAGTTTAATTTGTTTCAGATTTTTATGTTGTATCCAGAAATTTCTTTTACAATTTTTTTACCGAACCCAGCATTAGCCCAAATTTTTTAAACCTTACATACCAAGCAATGGTATTCCTGTTAATTTCATGAACTAATTTCACAAAATGTATAAAACAAGTCTAAAAACTTCTTTTAATCTTACAAAGTAACAATTCCAGTCAAACTGGTAATATCAGGAAACTAGAAAATTAAAATCAACAGGAATAAAAACTTAATGATTGTGTTGTTCACAATAAAAAAATTGGGACACCCTATTGTTTTTTTATAGATAAAAAAAAATAAAAAAAAGATTTGTAAATTTTACCACTTGCACACCATGTTTGGCAGTTAGGTACAAACGTAGCTGATGTATTGACCATTTTGAACCCTATGATGATGTAACAAAGAAGAATAAATAAATGTGTAAGTAAATTTTATATAAAAAAAAAATAAAAAAAAAAAATCAGTGTCAGAGATAAAAGATTATAAGATAAAAAACCTCAGGATCATAGTCAGGAGCTGTTTTTTGTATAGCTACATTTGTTAAATGAACAACTATAAAAAGTTAAAGAATAAATAATTATTAAGCAAAAATGTATGTATAATCAAGACCAACAAATATAAGTGAACAAAACAGGTTTCAAACATAACAGTTTTGAGATATCCATTTTAATGATAAGTTTATTTTTATTTAAATGAAAATTTTTTAAAACTTTATAGTAATAAACAATGCCTTTGTAAAAACTTTAGTGAATGTAAAAGTTCTTAAAATTGTATGCAGTGAACATTATATTCCTTAGAACAGCTTTCATACAAACAACTAAACAATCTAACCTATAAGTTTCTTGCTGTATTTTTAATCAAAAGCATATGAAAATCATGTTTGCACTCATCAATCATGTTCACCTGCAAAAATATATTTTAGTTAAATCAGCTTTATTAGGTAAGTTATTAGTATTGAGTTTAGTTTAGTTTTAATTTTTAGTTATTAGTATTGAGTTTAGCTTAGTTTTAATTTTTATAATCTTGAGTAACTTAAGATTATAAAATTATTAAGATTTACTTTTTTTTTGCAATGCTTTTTTATCAAACCTCATAAAAAGGGCATTATTCATGTGCAACATGACACTGTTAATACTTTGGTGTTTTTTAACTGTTGAAGAATTCAGATTATCTACCATAGAGTTTAGAAAACTACGATCTGGCTCCTGAACATATAAAACAGGTTTTAGAACTGCACCCTTCATTCATTCACCCTTCATTCATTCACCCTGCACCCTTCATTTGGAGTATGATTTCTGAATTTTGTTCGGATTAAAATTCACTAGCCAGTGTAATCTTTTACAAAAGAGAGATCAGATTTTTATTGGCTGCCTGTTCTAAGCCAAGGTGGGAATTTTTGCAGAAATAAAATTAGGTGCTAGAAAAATAACAAAGTTCACTAAGATTCTTATAACTAACATGTACATTTACTACTTTAAATGTAATAAATATAAAATAAATGTTTGTCACTTTATAACACTTTATAACATGAATTGAACATGGTGGAACATCAAAATTAAATGACAGGATTGGTTAATTAATTTAATTATTAATAAGTTAATTAAGCGTGTCTTTAATTTTTATTTTTTAAAAGAAACCAATTTTTAAATATAATTTTTGTTATGATTATTAGCATTATTACAATATTGAGCAGGCGAATAAGAAATGCTCATCATGACCGCTAGAGGCTAGAGGAAATGCTCATCATGACCATTAGAGGATAGAGAAAATGCTCATCATGACCATTAGAGGATAGAGGAAATGCTCATCCTGACCATTAGAGGATAGAGAAAATCCCTACAATGTAAAACAGCATTAAAAAATTTTATAAAATTTACATTAAACAGTTTAAAGTCATTTCTCTTTTTATTTGAATTTCTTATCATTTTATTGTTAGTTTTATTAAAATTAAAATCATCAATCAATTGTTGTTTTAATTATTTTTAAGCTTATAGTTGAAGAAAGGCAGGATATACAAATACTCATGTTAAAGAAATGTAAACTGCACCACCTACTGACTTGTAAAAACTCTTCTAAACATTGACTGGAGGTGCCTTGCACATCTACATTCAAAAGGCTAGTGAAGATGTAAACTTGTATCACACTGTTTCCTGCTTATGATAATGAATCTCTTTTACTCTACTAAAGGTTATGTGCTTGCACCTCTCTGTTACCTCTCTCTTTTTGTTGCAACTAAAAGCAAGCAGTGGCCTCATTAGGAGTTAACTCCTAATGAAGGTTGCAGCTCTAAAACTTGTTTTGATTGTTCAGGAGCCAGATCATAGTTTTCTTAACTCTATGGTAGATCTCAGATAAGCTGATTTCATCCACAGCTAAAAAACATCAAAGTATTAACAGTGTCATGTTACACATGAATAATGCCCTTTTTATGAGGTTTGATAAAAAAGCATTGCAAAAAAAAAACACAAAAAGAATTTCAATGAGCCTAAAGATAAAACTTGATAAAAGAGATAAAAGTTTTATTGAGATTGTATCATGGTCTGAACCGAATAAAAAAAAAGAACCTGAACACAAGCTAATGAAAAGACACAAATCAAGGAGTAAAAGTAAGTGATTTTGTAACAAAAAAAGTCTTTCCAAATGAAAACAACTTAGAAAGTTGGCTTGAGATTGAGAGGTAAAAGTTTTAAGCCTTAAATTTATTTATTTATCTTTATACTGATTTGAAATCAAATTGGAATTCTTTTTATGGTTTTCTTTGCAATAATCTTTAGGGTCTTTATGACATCTTAAACAAAACGGTTTCAAAAATTAAATTTTAAATATTCTAATTATTTCAGCAAGAATGCTATATATTTAACCCATCAGAACTTGAAAGTGAAAACTTGAGGGATCATAAAAATTTTAAAGCGTACAGCTGCTATGAATTCGTCTGGCTTCAGCCGCTTAAGTATCATAATTTAACAAGTAGTGTTATTGTGTTTTTGATAGACTGTGCATCATAAACTGTGGTTGGTATCAAAAAAATAATAGTCTGATTTTTTACATGAATGGATGAAATGTGTCAAACTCACAATCATGTCGCTGCAACAACCTACAGAGTAAAAGCTGCTGTAAGATAAGGTTTAGAAAACCCCAAATGGCTGCTAACTTAAAAATAAGTAACACTTTTTCTTTGGAAAATAAAATAAATCGATGTAATTACTGAAAGTCAAAATAAAGTTGAAATGTTATATGAATATATGGTACTATCAAATAAGTGTTGTAACCGGTTCTAAAGTTTATGAGGTATTAGCGAAAATAGAAAAATTAAAAAAGCTGTTGTTGGGTATCATTATTTTTGTTCGCTTAACTGAAAAATATTGGCTAACATTTACAAACTACAGCACTCCAGCCTTGAAATACAGTTGTACCATAGAAGTAAACATTAATTTCTTTAAAACATTCTTATCACAAAAATTAACATGTTCATGCTATATATACACATTCTTCTACAATGCAGTCCTTGTATTTTATTCTGGCCTGTTGCAATATTGAAAAAAGCTTAAAACTATTTAACAAATGTTTACCTAAATTTAGTTTTCCTGTTTACTGGAAAATGACATTTGTTGTTTTAATTTTAAAAGTCTGGAGATTTCTCTAAGCTATCCATTCTTACCCCTAATCCATTCTTTACCTCGAATCTTTTTATTTTTATAAATTTTTTGCTCATTATCTTATAAAATACTGTTGTATTAGGGCTGGTTTTTCTAATCAGGCTCTTTTTTCAACAAGATTTAAAATCCCATTGTAAATATTAATGAACCTGCTTTAACAACAAAGTACCTAAATAAAAATCATCATTGTCACCATATTGTTTCAACTTGTCCATTATAAATATTTGTAGTCTTTGTAATAACTATTCATCTGTTGTATCTTTTGAAAAACTCTTTAAATACTTACTCTTGGTGAGACTAATTTAAATGTGGCTATTTTATCATCGGATACCAAAGTTAATGGCTATTATTTTTCGATTTGTAAAGACTCCAATACTCAGATGATTAGCTTATGAAAATTCATATATTAATTACCCTATTCATTAAAAATAATATTAAATAAATCTTCTGAATATTTGTAAACAAATAAAGTTTATTTCTGACTATTCTTTTATGTCTCACTCTTTCTTATTTGTCACTTAACTCTCCTTTATTCAATCTTTTCAATAGTTTTTTTTTTTATCTTTTTACAATGCTGCTATTTTTAATCATAACCACTTTTTTAATCTTTTTCATAAGAACAGCTCTCTGAAGAACAAACATCTATCATTGCAAAAAACTGATGCATAAAGGTATTGTTTTATAACTAAGGTCCATTACTTTCAGATTTCTAAATCTCATATAAACCTCAAGAAGTTAGGTTCTAAAAACTTAAGAAAAATGTTTAACAACTATATTAATAAAATTAAGTCTAACATTCCACTCATGCATGAATCTGGAATAACTTCTCCCAAGAATTAATCAGGAATATTTGCCATCAATTTTTCCTCTAACTTTTCTCTTGAATTTAATGGCAGCGCTCTTCCAGTCATCCCAAAAGAAACAGATTCATCCATGATAAACATCTAAATAACTCCTGTTTCTTTTGCAAAATTTATTTTCCCACTTAAACTCTTCTACTGCTTGTGTTCCAGATGACATTCTTGTTACAATAAATAAAAGTCTCCTGAACTTCATTACTCTCTAAACTAATTAATGAGTAATTAACTGAACCTTGTTACCCCTAGTAAATGGTATTCTGTGGTTCCAGTTTTTAAAAAATCTGCAGATTATTCAGACCCTTCTAACTATTACCCAATCCCTTCTAATCCCCAGACCCTTCTAACTATTACCCAATCAGCCTTGTTACTTGATTATTAAAGATTTTAAATCTTTAATAAACTTATCTTGAGTCCAATAACTCTTTAATATCAATTTGGATTTCAATCCTTTTTTCTACTGCTGAATTGTTAACCATTATAACAAAAAGTCTGACATGTTAGTCTTCACCATAAGCTTGCTTCATATGGCACATCTTCATATGGCACATTTTGCAAAAATTTTTATATCATTAAATCATTATTTTCTAATTGCAGTATTAAGTTTGTCCTTATTGGACAACACTCCCCTTCATTTCCAGTAACTTTTTACATACCACAAGGTTCCATCTTTACTCCTGTGTTACTCTTCATCTGTATTAATATTTTTCCTCATAATTTAACTTTCAAAGTGGCCCTATTTGCCAATAATACAACTCTATACTCCAGTCTTGACAAAAATTCATCACTCTCAAATTAGTTAGGAAAAGCAGTCGAATCTCTTTTTTGTTATAGATTAGGATGTGCAGTGGCTGATAAATTTAAACCCAAATAAAACTTACTTATTTACTACTAACATTAATAGAAATATTTCTTTACTGATGAATGGCAACACTCTACTTGTTTCTTCTAATGAACCTCTTTCTCTTTAAGACTATTTCCAAAATCTCATCGTAACTTTTGCTAGAACTGCTCTAGCTGCCAAGTCTAGGCTTATGCCCCATTGATAGAAGATTGTATCTCTTTCTCTTTCTGACACCACCATGGTTGCTTTTCAGGCGAGCTATCATAATCTGTTCCATCAACTAAAACTTATCATTTAGTTAGGGCGCATCCTTTTTTGCAACTGTTCCTTCGTGAATTTGTTTGAAAAAAAAAATGCTGACCAAAAACAATTAAAAGACATTTTTAACAATAATCTAGAAATGACACAAAATGTTGTTAATGTTACCAAAATGAATGTCAAACAAAAATGTTATTTTGAACTTTTTGCATTTAAATAAAACATAACTATGTGTTTTATAAAGCAATAAATATTTATCTCACACAGAAAAAATTGCACATATTATAATACAAATTGCACATATTATAATACAAATAAAAAAGATACATTGGTCATCTATTGAGTTTAAATTATATCGGGAATTAGTCAAGCGTGCGAACCCTTCTCTGTATAGCCATGCCTTCATTGGTGTATACTAAAGAAACAAGAATTAAAGAAATATATTAATAATTTAGTCTCTCTGTAAAGGAAATGTCTTTATATACAGAAATTTATTTCTATATAGTTTCTGGTTTAAAAAAAACTTTTTAATTTCAATAAAAATTTCTAATATTTCTTATATTATATTTCTCTTATATTTCTTATATTATATTTCTCTATAATAACAAAAATCTTTATAACTATTAATCTTTCTTAGTTTATTATTCTTTCCAGTTTCCAAAATCTTTTCATATTTTCTAACATATAATTTTTATACAAATATATATTATTATTACTTTTTTTGTTAATCAAAGCAACTAAAAAAATGATTTTTGAAGATGATATAAAAAGTAGAAACAAGTTTTTTTAAATATTTATTCACAACTTACAGAGGTGACTAAAACATAAACTCTCAGATCAAATTTTCTCCCTAAAAAAATAAATTGTTATAGATATTTTTGATGAAATAACTATGAAATATAATTGAAAATAATTTGCAGTTAATATTTCTTTGTTTTATTTAGTTTTTATTAATAAAAGTAATCTGTAAACTTTAAAAATTAACAAAAATAAATAAAAAATTAAAAAATAGATTGAAAAATCAGCTGGAGTTATGTAAAACTGCCAATTAACACACTAATAAAAAATATTTAAAAGAATAAAATTATTAAATTATAAAATTATTAAATTATAAAATTATTTAAAATAATAAAATTATTAAATTATAAAAATATTTGAAATAATAAAATTATTAACAAATATTCAGGTTCTTTGTAAAAAAAATATTTTTTTGTTTTCACAAGTTATTCCAGCTTTTACATGGTCAATAAGCACTTATACCTGGTAATAAACATTGTGTTTATAGCAAGATTTTTTTATTTAGGACTACCGAGCATCATTGATCTCAGTATTTATCTGTGTGTTTCACATTCTGTCTACCTCACTTTTTTTTATTATTGTAGCCACTATATTTTTATCTGCTACTTTTTGCCAGTTGTAAAACTCGTTTTTTTGCAGTTTTTATAGCAGTTTTACACTGCAATAAAAAACTCTGTCAATTCAAGCACACTAATCTAAATAATAAAGATTGCTTGTCTTTTTTTTTTTTTTTTTTATAATTATTCACCTCCCCAAGGCCCGAGGGGGCCACTACAGTCGAGGAGGCTACTCATTTTTTTTTGTTTTTTGTTTTTTTTTTGTTGTAAATTGTGGTACAACCCTCTCTCAACTCTTTAACTCCGAAACACGAACCTTGACAAGCAAGACCGCTGCGCGGAGAAATTAAGTTGAGCGCTGTACTTCCAGGGACGTGGTGGGAGTCGAACTCCGAACCTCTTGCTTACAAAGCGAGCGCTCTTACCACTACACCACTACCGCATAAAATGTATTTTATAAAATGTATGCTGCCATGTACTCAATGGCTGCACTTAGGTATCCAACAATAGTTTAACTTTGAAATAGTCAATGAGTCTACCATACTGTGACTTCTGATTTCTTTTTTTGTCTTGGTAATCGGTATTGAATCAACAACTTCTCATATTAGGGATGGCAATGCTGGGATCCCATGCAAAGTATTGATCTCAAAATCCCAGGATCTGAGGTCTTCTAAACTCTCCATGGAAACTTTAATTTTTTTTTTTTTTTTTTCTTTTTTCACAAAATGCATTTCTTCCATTGAAATTATTTTGCTCTTGCCATTGACAAACATAACAATTTTATCTATTTTTATTACTATATTCTTTTTAATAAATATATTATATTATAATTTATTTATATTCCATATAAATATAAATATTATTATTTATATATTCCATATGTTTTACAGCAAATGTTTTGCAAGAAATTTTTTTTGTTTTAGAGAATAAATGGAGAACATTCGAAAGAGAACTAAACAGCAAAATCAAACAAAAATAGCAAAAAATATTAGTTGTGGTAGCTAACAGATGTGAAGACTTTGCAGTGCTAATAATGACAAAAATTTAAATAAAGAACTTAAAGGAGTGGCTAGACTTTGTGTCTTTACATAAACAGAAAAAAAACATACTTTAAAAAATTCATACTTTAAAAAACATACTTTAAAAAAATCTTTTATTTAAAGATAATGACTTAATGGTTGTTATTAAGTTAAGAAAACAAATGGTTGCTAAGTCATTTTGATAGGTCGCTAAGTCATTTTGATAAAAAAATGACTTAACGACTTAAATCATTTTGTCATTTTGTTGCACAACTAATTGTATAGTGCATGTACAAACATGTATCAGTTTTATGCAATAACTATTTTATTTAAGAAGCTAACCAAAGTTGAAAAACATTGATAGGCTCTTTAAATAAAACATATTGGAGATCAGACATATAGGAGAAACAAGATAGGTAGAAAAGATTTATTTTTTTTAATCTTACCTACCTATGTTTTTAAGGAGCTAATCAATGAAAATCAAATTTAAAAAAAATATTAAATTTTAAAAAAACATTAAATTAAAAAAAAAAAATTTTTACTGAAATTATACTGAAAAATAAATCATAAAGAAGTTCAACAAAATTAACATCTGTACAATATAAAGTACTTAAGTTATATGTATATTTCTGAAAAAAAGAAATAAAAGCTGTGGTTAGTGCCCAAACCAGCTTAGGCCTTTGAATTAACAAAATGTCCAGCAAGTATTCATTTAATAATCTAAAGCAGTGACAAATAATTAAATAATAAATAGTTGATTCATTTTTTATCAAACTAGTTATTTGACTAAATGTTAGTCATATGATTCATTTTAATTTATGGTAAGTGATTTGATTTGGTGTTAGTGATTTAGTTTAATGTTAATGATTTGAAACACAATGGAGTTTTTTAAATACTTTTAACAAAATAATATGTAAATATAAATTAAGAAATATTATGAGCAAGAAAGTAGTTTGTAAACTTTTGAGATGGACAGCTATGAATTAAAAGTTTTTTAAATGCTCCACTCTCTTGCATCTCTGATCACAAATGAAAAAACCATAAAAATCTGAACCCATAAAATTTTTACCATTAATTAAATATGGATTATCGATGTATCTTTGCACAATATATGCTTCTGGTTGTTCTTTTTCTTCTTTCTATAAAAGTTACAAATTATTTTACAATAAAAATAAATTGCACAAGAAACTATAAACTTAAAACTACCTTTTCATCAACACTATAGTAGTCCTCCTAAAAAAAATCAAATAAAAATTACAATAATAAAGTATAAAGTATAAATACCATAAAGCGGGGTAACTTTGGCCATTTAAATTTTAATTAAATATCTGTAACTTTTAAACAGTTAAGTAATGTTTTACTATTTTTGTTTTTTTTTTTGTAAATGCAATCTTACTTGCTTAAATTTTGATCTGAAGCTTGTTGCAAATGTTCTATTATAAGTGAAAAAGAATGAAAACTATATCTTTGTAAAACACAATCAAAAACTGTAAAACAGAATGTTGTCTGGGTGAAGATAAAAATGAAAGCAAACAACTCAGTTTTTCTTCTGTTTAAAAGACAAACGTTTAGATAAAATATAAAAGTTTTTGGCTTAAGTAACAACATTCTGGTTTTTTTTACAGGGTGGTCAAAGTTACCCCGTAGGTTTATACTCTTTTGGGGTAACTTTGGCCAAGTAAATAATATTCATTTTAAAGTAGTCTGACCGTTATTTATTATAACTAAAGTATTTTTTGAAGCATATTTTACAAATAATTTATTTTGAAAAACAATTTTCAGCATGAATGTATTTTATGATTTTAAAAAAAGTATATTTTCTTGTTAAACTATTTGTTGTTGTTGTTGCTAAATCATAATTTTATTAACTTTATAACAAAATTAAAATTTATAAACTCTTAGTTTAAATTTAATTGCAGTTTAATAAAATTATATAATAGTTTAATAAATTACTACATTGCAGTTTGCTTGTGTTGTTTATATTTACTTTTGTTTAAAGCACAATGCCTCGTAAATATAACAAGCATAGTGTTAGAAAACGTGTATACAACACTTGTTATAATACCATTCTTTTGAAAGAGTGTATGGATGCAGTTAATGAAAGTATGTTTATTCGTCAAGCCTCAAAAAGGTTTAGTATACCAAGAAGCACTATACATAATAAAATGAAGTCAAAGCATAAAAAAAACGTAAACGTTTTTTTTATGCTTTGACTTCATTTTATTATGTATTCTATAAGTAAACTGTGAAACGTTCACAGTTAACTTATAGAATTGCATCAAATATTAAAAGAAAACGTGCAGCTATAAATAAAGAATCAGTCTCTATTGAATTTATGATAGATTACTGAAGATACTTTTAAACTTTTTTTTAAAAAAACAGAGTAACAAATTGTTTGTTTATTCTTTAGTACTCTCTTATTTTTTGCTTTTTCAGACATTTAATAAAAAAATTAATAAGTTTTTTCAATCATTAAAAAATAATAAAAAATCAAATTATTTTAGCTAATATGTTTCTTTAATATTGTTTATATTTATTTTTGTTGTCCCTTTTTTAATTTCTTGACATATTTTAGGTACCCTTTTTTAAATAAATGATAACTGTAAGTTTAAATTACATTAAATGTAGTTAATTACACTTAATTTACATCTGGTGCTAAAAAAATAATTCACTATGACAAAGTTACCCCATTGCCGGGTAACATTGACCACCTCATTATTTCCATAAAATCTTGGATTTGGTGAATACAATGAATACACCATTTCACTAATTAAATGACATTACAACTTTGAGCATCAAAATAGTTTTGGGAAAATGTTCCTTTTTTTCAAACACTTATCTTCTTTATCAAAATTGGTACAAAGTTACCCCGGTTTACGATAAATAGTTTTTAAATAATAACAAATAAACAAAAAATAGAAGTAAAAAAAAATTAGTTTAAAGTGTTTTAAAATTTTTATTATTGCAATGACAACTAATATTGTGTTATTATATAGCAATTTAATACCAATTTAAAAAAAACTAGCATTTAAAAAAAAGTCTTTAAGGTTGCCACGTGGATCAGAAATAATTGAAAGGTCCCTATAAATATTGACAACAAAATGAAGGATAATCATTTTAGACTTTTCTTGCATTAAAAATGCAGTTTTTAAACTATAAAAATAAAAATTGTTTTAACATTTAAATGTTTAAGACATAAAAGCGTAGTGCTTTTGTGTAAAAATGACTTCTGATAATTTTATAAAACTTTGTTTCTTTTAAACAAATCTTGTCAATCTTGTAATTGATTAAAATTGAATATTACTCCTCCACCTTTTTAAAAATGTTTACTTTTAGCTTGTGGTTTTATATTTTTCAGTTACTTGTACAACCTTTTTAAAAATATTTACTTTCAGCTTGTGGTTTTATATATTTCAGTTACTCCAAAAACTTATTTAGAAATACATACTTTTAGCTTGTGGCTATATATTTTTCAGTACTTTATCATGAGTTATTGATGTTTTATAAAGTACTTATAAAAGTTGATGTTTTATAAAGTACTTAGCGCAAATACTTTTTCAAAAATATTTAAAATAGAAAAAAAAAATCGCAAGAACATTCTTTAGTTATATAGTTTTTGATCTATTAGTAGTATTAATTAACATTGAAAAAAATAAAACAATTATCAATTTAAGAAGTAATTTAAAATATATAAATATATATAAAAATAAAAATAAATATTTCTTTCAAAAATGTTCTAGCAATGTCAATAATAATATAATATAATATAAATAACATAATAATATAATATAATATACTTTTTAATAAACCTTTGAATAAAGCTTCATATATAGCTTATGTAATAGAATATGATTTATATTCAAAAAAAATTATTTCTGAAAGTTGTTTGAAATCCAAATATTTTGATCTGCTCATCATGATTTTTAACTCTCACATTGAAGAAGTTTGCAGAACACGAAGAAGAAGTTTGCAGAAGGAACACGAAGAAGAAGTTTGCAGAACACGAAGAAGAAGTTTGCAGAAGAAACACGAAGAAGTTTGCAGAACACAAAGAAGAAGTTTGCAGAACACGAAGAAGAAGTTTGCAGAAGAAACACGAAGAAGAAGTTTGCAGAACACGAAGAAGAAGTTTGCAGAACATGAAGAAGAAGTTTGCAGAAGAAACACGAAGAAGAAGTTTGCAGAACACAAAGAAGAAGTTTGCAGAACACGAAGAAGAAGTTTGCAGAAGAAACACGAAGAAGAAGTTTGCAGAACACGAAGAAGTTTGCAGAAGAAACACGAAGAAGAAGTTTGCAGAAGAAACACGAAGAAAAAGTTTGCAGAAGAAACACGAAGAAGAAGTTTGCAGAACACGAAGAAGAAGTTTGCAGAACACGAAGAAGAAGTTTGTAGAAGAAACACGAAGAAGAAGTTTGCAGGTACAATAGAGAAAAATGATTACTTTAAGTTGTTGTTGTGTTTTTTTTACAATTCTTCTTATATCATTAAGTTCAATAACATTCAATTGATTACTAGGTAGCTGTAAACAAATTTTGCAGTTTAGAAAACTTTTTAAATTTAAACAATGATGGAGCATAAATTTTATCAATTTTTATTGGGCAATATTGGTTATTTGTAAGATTCTTGTTTATTATTATTATTTTATTTTTTTAACTAAATCACTCCAAACAAGGCTGCAAGCAACTATTAATTAAGTTGGGAACAGAAAACAAAAAAGGGAGTTGTAAATCTAAAAAAAAAAATATACAGGAGAATTAAAAATTGTGAATTGTAAGAGTCAGAAAAAAAAATGGTCAGAAGTGAATTCTAAACTTGTGTTTGAGAAAAAAAACTTGATAAACAAAACTTTTTTGAGCATGTAGCTATCTTGGCTAGGTAGTAATACCTTTTATTATTTTATACAATTCTTTCTTGATTATTTTTCATTGTTTTTATTTTTCATTATGTTTTTATTTTTCATTATGTTTTTATTTTTCATTATGTTTTTATTTTTATCTACTAATAGTCATACTTTTCTTCTTTTTTATTTTTTTTCATTTCCTTTTTTTTTTTTTTTTTCATTTCCTTTTTTTATTTTTTTTCATTTCCTTTTTTTTTTTTTTTTTTTACTTCTCTAAGATCTTTCTTATTTCTTTGTTATTTTTGACAGATTTTTATTTTCTAAATCCAAAAATTTTGTTTGTATTATTATTTTTATTTTGTATTATTATTAGCAGATATATAAAATAATTGAAAAAAATGAGCAGCATTCTAAAGCATTGTTTAAAATTAAACAATTTAAAATTTCAAACAAAATAATAATAAATAATAATAAGAGTAAAACTTATTGTTTACTTTAACCTATTTTAACTACATAATAACATTTTTAATAAGTAACATTTATAAACCATAACAAGTTAAGTTTATAAATTCAGTTACAAGCCTGTGCCCAGGATTTTTTTGATACAGGAGATATGACAATTGCAAGCATAGCACAAATTCTAATTTTAAGTATGTTGGCGCATACAAATGAGAATGTTTTTATTAAAGAATCTATCAGTGTTCAAAAGTTATGAATATATAAAATTTACAATCTCTCATTTTGGGGAGGGTGGAAACTTTTCATGGTCATAACTTTTGAATGCTAAAAGATTATCTAATGAAATTTGAAATGCGTGGATAAATTTAATATAAGATAGTTATTTAAAATATTCTATTAACTCTTTGTCCACACATTTGGGGAAGGGGTGATTACTTTTAAAGGTATTTTTGTTTCTAAGCTCCTTTCAACACAATTTTAGGGAAAATATTCTCATTTGACATAAGAACCAGCATACTTAAATTTGAAGTTTTTGCTATGCTTGCAATTATCATACCTCGTGCATCAAGAAATCTTGGATATGGGTTTGCAGTTATATTAAAGTACTCGACCAAATCAATTTGTTAATTTAGCTAATGTAGTTACTTGCATATACAAATACAACTATTTATATTTGGTACCGCATTCTAAAATCAACCTATCCTAACAAAGATCTTTAGAAATTTTCAATTATTCTTAGGAAAAACTTAAAACTTTTTTTTAAAAGATAATTTCATAAATTTAATAGTAATTCATTTTATACACACATAGAGTGTGAAAGCATATTTTATACACACATAGGGAGTGTAAAAACATATTTTATACACACAAAGAGTGTGAAAGCATATTTTATACACAAATAGGGAGTGTGAAAACATATTTTAAAATTAAAGCTTTAACTACCACCCTAATATATATTACATACTTTAATATCTTTTAGGACTTTTACTTCACATAATTCATCAACATACAAAACACAAATTAAAAAGCGAAGGTAAATGTTGTCACATTGAATGCATTGACTCTATTACTACTAATCCTAATCGCTATAAACCTCCAAAATTTTGTTTCTTTTACTCAAATAGTTTTTTCAGATAGTTAAACTTGTGACTTCCTTTAATCACTTACTTTTACTCCTTGATTTGTGTCTTATTTGTAACAACAACTTGTACTCAGATTTTCATTATTCTCTTTTAAGTTTAGATCATGCTATGATCTCACTAACTACTATTTCTTTTACATTAGATTAATTTTTTTGTGGCACTTCCTACCTTACCTTAAACCTAACTAGAAAAACAAATTTCAAAAATAATTTCCTTTTATTATGGCCTTTGGGCTATAAAATGCTTTTTGTCTTTATGCTGAAAATTGCACCACCTTTATAATCTTCTAGATTTAGACTAGCATGGAAAAAAAAATTTCCATTATGTTGCTTTCAATTCAAGTCTCACTTGACCATACGGTTTTCTCCTTGTGTAGCTGTTATTTCTAATCTAATTATTTCTTTCATCTTTTACTAAAGATCAATCCCTTTTTATCATTGCAAAAAATCTTAAAGAGTATTGTAGAGATTATTTTTTAAATTTACATCTTTATAATAATGCTGAACTTAATAGTGGTAGTAGTGCCCTTTCAAGAGTGTTTGACACAGAATTCTTGGCAACAATTGCAACCAAAATAATGGCAAAAAAAATATCAAGCTTACAGTTTTACTTTTACTTGAAAACTGTATTGCAGGCAACACCTTAAGTTTATAGTAATAATTGTATTGCGGCAATACCTTAAGCTTATAGTAATAATTGTATTGCAGCAACACCTTCTTAAGTTTCTTAAGTTTGTATATATAGAGCATTTATTTCTTTTTTTTGTTAAATACTTCTAAAACTTTTTTTAGATAACACTTTTATGGCCGAGTGGTTAGCTCGCATCGTTTCAGTAGCAAAGCGTCGTTGTTCAAATCCTACCTCTGTAACCTTTTTATTATTATTATTATTATTATTTATTTCTAAAATACTAAATAAAACACTTTTGAAGTTTTATAGATATTATATACATAACAAGATATTATAAACTATAACAAACGAAAAGAAAGAATCTTTAAAAAAGCTTAAAATTTCTAAAAATATCAAAACACCGGTAGTAATTTGTTGCACATATGTCAAGATAATTATGTTATTATTGTGCTCAGGTAATTAGTCCTAATAAGCAGCGGATGGTCTAAAAAAATTATGGTAAAATAATAAAGAAAAATAAAGACAAAAATTAATAAGCCCGTCCTGCTACTCCAGAAAGTGCTGATGTGGAGGCAGAAAAAAAAACTTTCAAAGTTTTTTTTTCTGCCTCCACATCAGCACTTTCTGGATATAAATATATATATATATATATATATATATATACATATATATATATATATATATATATATATATATATATATATATATATATATATATATATATATATATATATATATATATATATATATATATATATATATATAATTTAAATGTTGACATGTTAAAAATATAAAAATATCAACTAATACAAGTTCTCTCAATACTATTGTTAATTTATTTAAATAAATTAACAATAGTATTGAGAGAACTCGTATTAAATTTCTAGGTTCTTAAAACCTTTAGAAAATTTTTAACAGCATCATAAAAAAGGGAAAGTCAAACATTTTATTTCTCGTACATAAGTCTGATGTTATAATTCCCAAATATAAGACAGAACTATTTGTGAATGTTTCCTCTCATTCAGCAAAGTGGCATTCTCTAACTATAACTTTTCTTCATGCTCAAAAAGTTTTATTTATCTTGATTTTTTCCTTCAAACATCTTGAATGTTTGAAATTTTCATACAACTAACAGTTTTTTAAATTTTCTATTACCTGCTTTCTTGTTCTTTAACATTGTTTTCTGTTAATTCCCAACTTGGTGGTTGCTTACAGCATCGTTGCAAGTGAGTCTTTTTTTTTAAAAAGTATTATATAAGTGTACCTTTCTCCAATCAGTTATATCTTTTAGTTTTTTAAACAAGAATATTCCCTTTCCTTGAGATTTGGCTATCTAAACCAGAAATAAAAAATATGAAAAACAGATTAAAAAAAATTATAACTTGGTCATTTTTAGATTTAAAACTATTCAATTTAATTTTTAAAAAATCATACTGGTTTCATTATCCATAACTTTCCTGGGTTTCGCTTAAACTCCTCAACAAACATATGATATTCACCCTAGATTATAAATACATCCACCAAAAATTATTTTGAAAAATAGCTACTTTTTAAAACAAAATTTAAAATATATATGTAACACATTCTGTCATTTAAGTTTTATATAAAACAAAGTATGTGTTAATCATTATTATCGCCAACATTATTATTACATTCTCATCAATGTCATCAGATTTTCACCAAACAAACAGTTTCAGTTTAAATAATAATAATTTTCACTATACAAATGGTTTCAGGTCAGATGATAAAGGCAAAGCTCATGTCATGTTAATAGTTTAAATGATTCTGTGTTTATACATTATTAACTTATATCTGTATTACATCTGAATTGGATGATGAGTTTAGGTATGATGGATGATGAGGTTAGATATTGCATAATTTTATTTTTACCATAACTTAAGACAAAAAGGATTATACTCTACTGTTTTTTATTTTTTTTAGTCTAAAATTAAATAAAATTTTGGCTGATTGCAAAGATTCCTTGGTAACATTTTACTTGAGATTAATGTATAATAGTGATCAAATTTTTGGAAGTATTTTATAACCATGTTTCAAATAGTCTTAACTTGCTAATGCTATTTATACAGAAAACCTAAAGAATTTAAAAAAAAAACTTTTAATTTTTAGATCTTACCCTTGCTTTAGAACTTTATTTAAAAGGATATTAAAAAAAAGGATATAAAAAAAAAGGATATAAAAAATTTCTTTTTAAACTATTTTGTTGATGCATCAACAATAAACAAACAAAAAAAAGATTAAAAAAATGAAAAATAAAATTAAAAATGAAAGAAAAAACAGAGAAAAAAATAAAATTATAAGAAAAAAAATTTTTTTAGTTGAGAAATGATAGAGTGCTTGTGACAAGGATAACAGGTTATAAGATTAAAAGGCTATAGGAAAATTTTCCACCATCTTTTGGGTTGTACACAAAAAAACTTGTTTTTTCCGGATCTAACTTTATCTAAAACATATTTACTCAATGAGTCATCTACCCTTCATCTTCTAGGATTAATGATGATGAGTTTAGGTATGATGGATGATGACTTAAGTATGATGGATGATGAGGTTAGATTTGCATAATATATATTTGCATAACATATTATTGCATAATAGGATTTAAAAAAAACATGTTAATTATAAAATAAAAATTTTTTAAATAATTTTAATTAATACAATTTTTGTTTTTAAAAATCTGGTTTAAAAAACATAATAAAAAATAATTTAAAAAAAAAAACAATTAAATATTATAAAAATATAAAAAACATTTAAAACTTACAGGAAGTTCAAAGGTAGCAGGGAAAAAATCACAACTAAAAAAAACATTAGTAATACATATATTGTATATTTAACTTCTTCTTGTAAACCATATAGACATACCTATTTGCAAATCATATAAACATACCTATTAGCTTCCATTTTCCCATGCTCTCGCTCTATATGTTTTTTTAGTCGTTTCAAATTTTTTGCCATTAAATTTTTTCTTGTCAACTAAAAAATAATAACAAATTCAAGAAATTAGAAGAATTTTCTGAAGTAAAGAAAATTATCTTCTGTAATTTTAATGCTGATTTCTGATACTGATAATAAAAATTGTAAAAAAAAATTTTACCTCATAGTGGTTTCGAAAATGATTTAGTTTTACATGTTCATCTAAATATTGATTGTCATATATTTCATGAATGCCACACTTGTCACTCCAAATAAAATCCCAGTCTCCATCACTAGAAAAAAAATACTCAAATTATTTTTGATAAAAATCTTAGTAGTAAAAATTTTCCATTAAAAAAAAAAGTCAGCAAAATAGAAAGAAAAATGGAAAGGAAATAACTAGACAAAAAAATACTTACCACATGTTAAAACATACAGTTTTGTAGAAAAACATAAACTATTTTAAAACATACAGTTTTGTAGAAAAACATAAACTATTTTAAAACATACAGTTTTGTAGAAAAACATAAACTATTTTAAAACATACAGTTTTGTAGAAAAACATAAACTATTTTAAAACATACAGTTTTGTAGAAAAACATATTTTTAAAAAAACTATTTTTGCAAAGAGTAAAGAGCTTTGGTAAATTTTGAAAAATTTTGAAAATTCTGCAGATTTTTTTGTAATACATTCATAATTGAAATTATTAGAACTTGACTCAGATAGCACTTAGCAACTTAAACAATAGGCTTATTGCAGTTGCCTTACAAGTTTAATAATGCTAAAGTTGTAACGAGAGGGTTCATATGTAACTACAACAATTAAAACCAAAAAGCACAAACAGTAACACAATCCATGCGCACCATTACAGTTTAACACTCAAATATTTTACAGCTGCTGATGGAGTCAGCTTAAGAGCTACCACAGCGTTCAATAAAACTTACTAAGTAACTAATTAATGGAAAGTAATTCTGATAATTTATTAGCATTATTAATTAGATTTGTTACTTAACGTATCAGCTTTCCGATGTGAACTTTTAAACTGTA